ACACACACACACACACACACACACACACACACACACACACACACCAACACACGCACGCACGCACGCACGCACGCACGCACACACATAACACACACGCACACGCACACACGCACGCACGCACACGCACGCACACACGCACACGCACATACGCGCGCGCGCGTGTACGTGTGTATATACAGGGTGAGTCATTTTAATCGACGTAGGCAAATATCTCGAAAAATATGGAAAATACGGAAAAATGTTTCAAACAAAAGTTGTATGGTCTAAAGGGGGACACATGATCCCGATGTGAGTTATGTTGCAGATGTCATTTTCAAGAAATTTTAAAGGCAACTAATTTCTTAAATGGAACTTAATTTTTTCCTTGAGATAAAAGTTGTAGATTTCATCGAGGCGTTTTCAAAACACCTCCAATATCTTTTGCAAAAACCGTTCCGGAGATATGAACCTTCAAAGTTTACAAAGCCACTGGTTCTACATGTATGATTCGTGCAACAAGTTTCAATAGTTGTTGTAAACTCATACCACTATATATGTATACATATTTTAACATAATTTAAGGATAATTGTTAATCTCAAAATAACATGAAATAACAAAATATGCAATAATTAATAAAATTACAATTAAACGATTTGAAAGTTTAAGGGGGTAGCCTAGTGTAGCGAGTCAAAAAAGTTAAGGTATTTTCAGGATTTTTTTTGAAGGTATTAAAAATCTCCGACCATTTCAGCAGTGGCCCAATATATATATATTGTACCATATTTCAAGAATACAAAACAATTTTTTTTTTATTGGCGGAAAGAAAACAACTTTTGAGATATATCGCCGAATGTTCGAAGGTGCAGAAAATTCGGCGTATGTAATAGCTCGGCGCAGGGTCGTCTAAAACAAAAAATTCCAGCACCGTTTTAAAGCTTAAACTTGTAGTTTGTCGGTATACCTTTAAAATTTTGGAAAAAAATTAGTTTAAATATTTTCTTTTAGCCTAGGAGCGATTTTTTAGGTAAAAATCGTACCTTCCACTTCTGATGGCCGCCAATTTGCCAATTTCCAACTTTCCTGGAATTTTAAAGGTTCACCAACAAACTACAAGTTTAAGCTTTAAAACGGTGCTGGAATTTTTTGTTTCAGACGACCCTGCGCCAAGCTATTACGTACGCCGAATTTTCTGCACCTTCGAACATTCGGCGATATATCTCAAGAGTTGTTTTCTTTCCGCCAATGAAAAAAATCTTTTGTATTCTTGAAATATGGTATAATACTGGGCCACTGCCGAAATGGTCGGAGATTTTTAATACCTTCAAAAAAAATCCTGAAAATACCTTACTTTTTGGCGTTCTACACCAGGCTACCCCCTTAAAAAGAGATTAGTTCTAAAAAGATTATTTTAAATTATACATATAAACTAAATTATTAACTATATATAGATATACACATATACATACATATATATATATATATATATATATATATATAAATAATTGTTAATATATATATATATATATTTTTTTTTAGATTAACAATTATTCTTAAATTATGTTAAATTACTAATTCTTTTCTGTATTCTCCATTTTTCCAGGTGTCGATTCTGTAAGAAAGCGTTCTCCGACAGCTCAACGCTTACTAAGCACTTGCGTATACACTCCGGTGAAAAACCGTATCAGTGTAAGCTATGTCTGCTTAGATTCAGTCAAAGCGGTAATCTCAATAGGCACATGAGAGTCCATGGCGGCTCTCTAACGTGACACAATCCTTCTGCACCAGTACAATCCGCGATGACGATGATCAACGACAGTAATGCTGCACATTCATTGCCCAGATGCTGTCGAATACCTGTGATTCGATTAGGAACAAACTCGCCGGAAAAGTGAAACGCAGAAATACAACGCGACTTCTAGTACATAAAGTTTACTTAATACCGGTTTAATTAATTTACTAGTATAATTAATTTAAAAGAAATTTGGATATTGGTGTAATTCATTAATTTAATGAATACGCGAAAAAAATATGAATTTAGCAAATTATATAATATACATTATGACGTAAATCAACGTAAAATGTATTATTTTGTAATTAAATTGTAACAAAATTATAAACGCAAATTATACTATAAATTATGCTGAGAAAAAAAGTTATGTTTTTTGTAAGTATAGTTATAGAAAATTATATTGACTCCAACCCTCAAAATATAAAGTCGCAACGAAATTTCATAGAATTCTTCTATCTGATCGATAACTATGCCAGAGGCCCGAGATGTTAAATAATATTATGCATCCGATACCAATATACAATATATATGTATATTATTTTTAATATTGTCAATTTTTAACAAAGAGATACATTTTACATTTTATAAAATATCTTGTAAACTTTTTTATTTTACTTGTATCTGTTACGAGGCGTGATTCAAAAGTAAGGACTAATTGAGCATTAAAAAACAAATGCGAAAAAATTTCACTAATAAAAAAGTCTACGTATACTTATTTAATTTCCTATATAGTTACTGATTTTTTTCAAATATTTTTCATACCAAGATACTAGTTTTTTTTCTGTAGAGGCTATTCGGAAGTTTAGTCAGCTCAACACTGCTGCTTCTTAATTTTTCTTAAGATAAAGGAAAGTGTGGGATGTTGATGTTAGATATCGCTCTCAATGGCAACGCATATCCATACTCTGTAGTCCACACTATGTAAAAAATTCAAGTAAAAAATGTCAGTAATTCAAGTAAAAACTTTTCGAATACTCTTGTATTAAGTGGTTTTCGCTTCATTTTAAGAAACGGCTTCGTTCTTAACAATTTGAGAAAAATGAGAAGTTGAAAACAGCAGTGCTGAATTAGTTGAACCTCCTCATAACGAATCTCTCAGCGCAGAAAATAAAAAATGGATGCTTCGATGGAAAGTGTTTAGAAAAAACCGGTCAGTCTATAGAAAAGTAAGAATGTAAATGCTTTTTATGGTTTAACAAAATATTTTTACTTTAATTGATTTTTTTAAATGATCGATCAGACCCTACCTTTAAAACGCATCTCATAAATAAAAAAAATGCAGTATATTTTCGTTTTACAAACATTATTTTTTTCTCTTTTTATAAGGATTATTTCTTTTCAGTTGCCTCACAGATGCTATAATAAAATTTAATAAAATACAAGTCGATGGGGATATCATATAATTTCACAAATCAAATTCGACAATATCTTTTTATGATTAATAAAAAATCATTTCTGATCACATATTCCAATAATAATAGGCTTGTATACTCTATTTTACATATATATCGACCAGATTAGAACATGCATGAATTGGGATAAGTAATAGATTCGAATGCAACATATCCAATATAGCATACCGCAAAGTAAAATCACGCCGATATTATTGTACAAATATTGTATTTATTATAATTATTAATAATTATAATAATAATGTTGCTCGTTTATCTCGACATCACCTTCTCAATTAATTATTCTATCATCATCGAGTGACAGGTGACTCTTCTTATAGTGTTGTTGTTGTTGTAGTTCGCTTCTCTTTTGTTTATATATAGTTTTTCTTTTTAGTTGTTTATAATCGCAATGAACGAAGACACGTGGTTTTGGTGCTGTTGGTTTTCTTTCGTCGAGAAACAAAAAATTAAATGAAATAGAAAAAAAGAAGAACGAATATTACAGAATAATCTTCTATCTATAATACAAATATATTCGCACGAGAAAAACTCATTAATTAAAAAAACTGATTATTAATTAAAAGCAATCTATCTTATTATCTCTCTCGTTCGCTCACTTTCGCTCATTTGTAATTCCACAATATCAAGAATTATTTTTTCTTCATCTTTCTCTCTTAGAAAAAGAAATACTCCGAATAATCCTCTCTTGCGTGTAAATTCACAATTATCACCTCATAATTAAAATTATACATAAATGAGAACAACTCTCTTCTTAGTTTTTTCTCAAGTAGAATAGCTTTGCTCTCGCTCTCTCATTCTTTCTCTCTCTCCCTTTCACTCGCTTTCTCTCACTTTCATTCTTTC